TGAAGACAACCACTTACCTGGCTGAGCCACCCAGACATTCCCCCTTTTCCATTTTTTATGGGATTGTTTGATAATACAAATCTTGTTCAATTTATTGAGATTAGCTTTATGGCCCAGAATATGATCTGTCTTTTTTTTTTTTTAAAGATTTTTTTAATTTATTTATTTGACAGAGAGATAGCACAACTAGGCAGAGCGGCAGGCAGAGGGAAAGGGAGAAGCAGGCTCTCTGCTGAGCAGGGAGCCCGATGCGGGGCTCAATCCCAGGACCCTGGGATCATGACCTGAGCCGAAGGCAGCCACTTAACCAAATGAGCCACCCAGGCGCCCCAGAATATGATCTATCTTGATAAATGTTCCGTGTACTCTGTTTTAAAGCTAATTTTTAAATTTTAATTCCAGTATGGTTAACATAAAGTGTTATATTAGTTTCAGGTGTACAGTATAGTGATTCAACAATTCTATACATTACTCAGGGCTCATCATGATAAGTGTACTCTTTAATCCCCATCACTCATGTACTCTTGAAAGAATGTACATTCTGCTCTTCTTGGGTAAGGCACTTTATAAATGTCAATTAGTTCAAGCTGAAAATCAGTATTAATTCAAGACTTGTTCAAGTTTTCTCTACCTTAATGATTTTCTATGTACTCATTCTTTCAATTATTGAAAGTGTTGAAGTCTCTGCCTATAAATGTGGCTTTGTTTATTTCTGCACGCAGTTCTATCAGTTTTTACTTCACATATTTTGATGCTCTGTCATAGGCACATAAACATTTAGGATTTTATGTCTTCTTGATGAACTGACCAATATAGTATTATGAAATGATCCTCTGTGTAATATTGTTTACTATGAGATCATTTTGGCTAACATTAATATAGCCACTCCAGTTTCTTGTGATTAGTGTTAACACAGTTTATCTATCTCCATACTTTTTTTTTCTTTCTCCATACTTTTAACCCATTTGTGGATTTATATTTAATGTGACTGTCTTGTGGGCAACGGATCATTGGATCTTGAGCTTTATTCCACTGATAATCTCTGCCCTGTAATAGGAATATTTAGACCATTCATATTTAATGTGATTAGGGCTGAATTTAAATCTACCATCTTGGTGTCTGTTTTCCATTTGTCCCATATGTTCTTTGTTCCCCTTTTCCTCTTTTTCTGCCTTCTTTTGGACTGCATACTTTTTTTTTTAAGATTTTATTGATTGATTGATTGATTGATTGATTGGGTGGGGGGAGAGAGAGAGCAAGCAAGCATGCAAGCCGGGGGAGGGCCAGACGGAGAGGGAGGGAGACAATCTCAAGCAGACTCCGCACTGAGCACAGAGCCCAACACCAGACTCAATCTCACGACCCTGAGATCATGACCTGAGCCAAAATCTAGAGTCAGATGCTTAACTGACTGAGTCATCCATGGGCCCCAAGACTGAGTACTTTTTATAATTTCATTTTTACTCTTTTGTTGGCTATTAACTATTACTCTGGAAGTTTTTTTTCATGGTTGCTATAGTTTATATTCTATATTTTTCATTCATCACAATCTACCTTCAAGTGCTATTATTTCACTTCGTGTATGCTATACGAACATCAAAAGGGTGTACTTCTATTTCTCCTCTCTTGCCCTTTGTGCTATTGTGTTTTCATACATTTTACTTCTATATATGCTATAAACCCCATAATACACTGTCATCCTTTTGCCTTAAGTAGCCAATTATCTTTTTCAAAAATTTTAAATAATAAAGAAAAAGTTTTTTTAAATTACCCACATATTTACATTTCTAGTGTTTTTCACTCATTTATGGAGATCCAGATCTTTATCTGGCATCATTTTACTTCTCCCCAAAGAATTTCCCATAACATTTCTTGTAATTAAAGTCTGCCAGTGATACATTCTTTCAGCTTTTGTGTGTCTAAAAAGTTTTGAAAGTTATTTTCAGCAAATAGAGAATTGACAGTTTTTTCCTTCAGTTCTTTAAAGGATTGTTTCACTGTCTTCTGGACAATGAGAATTTTGCTGTCATCCTCACCTCTGTTCCACTGCATTACAATATGTCCTTTTTCTCTGGATGATTTCAAAATCTTTATCAATTATTTTGAGCAATTTGATTATACTGTTTGGTATAATTTTCTTCATGTTTCTTGTGCATAGTGGGTCATCAAACTTTGTGGATCTGAAGATTTATAGTTTCCATCAAATTTGAAAAACTTTTGGCCATTATTTCTTTATTTTTTCTAACTCTCCTTCCCTTCTTCTGGGAACTCCAATTACATGTATATTTAGTCCACTTGAGGTTGTCCCGATCTCATCAATGCTCTATTCATTTTGTTAGTCTACTTACTCTCTTTGCTTCATGTTGGATAGTTTTTATTACTATGTATTCAAACTTACTAATCTTTTCTTCTTCAATATCTAATCTGTCGCTAATCCCATAAGTATATATTTTATCTCAGACATTATAGTTTTCATCTCTACGTTGATTTGTATCCTTTAATGTCCTCAATGCCTCTAATTAATACATTCAATCTTTTCTCTAGCTTCTTGAACATATGGAACTTCATTATAACTATTTTTTTTAAATCCTTGTCTACTAGTTCTGTGTCATTTTCCTGCCTCTGCTTATATGGTTAGTTTTGATTGGATTTCAGACATTATTAATTTTACCTTGCTGGATGCTATATATTTTTGTTTTTTTATAAATATTCTTGAGCTTTGTTCAGGTTCACGTATTGTTTTTATGCTGTTAGGTAGAGCTAGGGAAGCTTTAATCTGGGGCTCATTTTGCTCCACTACTGAAGCAAACCAATGCTCCTTCTGAGTAATCTAACTGGTGCTCCATGAATTATGCAGCTTTCTACTCTGGAAGGAAAGGAACTGTAATAATCAGCTTGGGCTGTCATAACAAAATACCACAGAGTGGGTGGCTTCAACAACAGAAATTTGTTTTCTTGCAGTTCTGTAGGCCAGAAAGTCCAAGATCAAGGTTCCGGCAGGGTTTTGTTTATGGTGAGAGCTCTCTTTCTGCCTTATAGACAGCCACCTTCTTGCTGTATCCTCAGATGGCAAAGAAAGGGTGCCAGTTCTATCAGATCAGGATTCCAAACTTATGACCTCATTTAACCTTAGTCACCTCCCTAAAGACCCTAGCTCCAATATAGCCACATGGGGTTTAGACTTCAACATTTGGATTTGGCGGATACACAATTCATTCTACAGTAGGAACTTATTTCCACACCTGTGTGAGCTCTGAAGACCATTCCTTCTAATCTTTTTAGGTGGTTCTTTCCCCAGTCTTAGGTAGTTTCCTCATACCCTTAAACTGGTCAGTACTCAGGTGAAGATTCTCTGCAGATCTCTAGAATTCTCTGCTTTCTTGTACTCTCTGTTGTGAAATCTACCTATCTTTTCCTCCCCAGTCTCCAATTCTGTCTTTCTCAACTCAGAGAGAACACTGTGCTCTGCCTGAGGTCTTCCTCCCTGCACCGCAGCTAGAAACTCTCTCAAGATAGTAAACTGGGACATGTGTAGAACTCAACTCATTTCTCAGTGATCCCTCTCCTTTGCTGCCTAATGCCCAGGATTGTGAAAACCCATATATTTGTATGTGTGTATGTGTATAAATATATATATATATATATATTTTTTTTTCCCCCTCCTTGTTATTTTAGTTGTTTCTGGAAGAAAGGTAATCCAACCTTGTTCCTCCATCTTGTCCAGAAGAAATTTGTACTGGGCACTTTTAATTCTGTCTCTGCCATGTTTTTCTCCTGCAACCGTTAATTAGCCTTCAGACTTCCACTTAGATGCCATTTTATCTACAAAATCCTTCTAAACACCTCACAGCTCAGGTAGATGCTCCCTGGCTGTACTTTCCCCCTGCCAAGGCGCCCACCACATTGTTTTAAAATCACTGCTTCAATTGTCCACATACCCCCTGCCATAATGCAGAAGTTGGAGCTGTGCAGTGTACACACAGCAGTACTCCATAAATCTACCTGGATTAATAAACAAATGAAAGAAACTTAAAGTGAAGAGACAGTAGCTGAAGCCACATTCACTGTATCAAAGAATTTGTTCTATAGCATCCATTTCCTTAAAGATTATAAACTACCAGTTACAAATACGAAGTATTTAATATTTATAGTTGTAACATTAAAAACAACAATGAGATGGAATGGTATTTTCCCCACATGGTAGCAGTTATTGAAGGAAACAATCTGTTACTAACCACATACTTTGAAAATTCAAACCAATTTCAGAGATAAAGATTCCTTTAACATGTGTTCACTACCACCCAATTTCACCTTAATGTGGGTAACAAAATCAGAAGACCCAGTATAAACACTCCTTGAGAAACCGGGTCTCATTAACTTCCCTCCAGCATCAAATGTTTTAGTCCAATCATCCAATCTGGAATTAGCAAAAAAATATTTAATGTTACATCCTTCAGTTTTACCTCTTCCCCCATATTTTGAGAAGGCACATTTGAAAGGACTGATGGAATATGAAAAAAATAAAGGATAACAAAGGAAGATGAAATCCTGAAATGTTAAGTCCTAAGATGGAAACTTGATATTTGAAATGGTTGTCCTTGCCTGCCTGTGGGCTAGCTGCCTATAGTCCTGGAGCCTCGAGGACTGCTCCAGTCCCAGGTGGCCTTCTAAGAAGAAGCCCAATGATTTGGTACATTCTGAACTGTACCTTTTATAAAGACATCAATAAGAATATGCTTTGACAGTTGCCCTACCTCCATTTCACGACACTGAGGGAACCCAGGAAGAGACTCCCATAAAATACCAGAGTTGCATAAAAGGATGCTTCCAACATTAAGAATTAACTCAGGAGAAAATAATGAAAACTGAGGTCCCTCAGCCAAACTTTAATTCTGATCAAATGAATTCAGTATTATTGTAGTGATTCTGAAATTGAGGAAGTCAGGCAACAAAATTCCAACATCTGGCCCATGAGAGAATTCTAGAAGGCCAGTACTTACGCTACATGGGTTGTTGGCCGTCTGAGCAGAGCTGTAGAAGGACCCCCATTGGGTGGCTCGCCTCTCATCCCGGGAAGGGGTGCTGTTCACAGGCAGGATGGCTGGGACTCCAGGGCCTGCGACCGCAGAACTGGCAGGCTGGCTGCTGGGGGCCACGAGAGCAAAAGCATCATCCAGGAGGGAGTGCATGGTCTGGCGCGCCTCCTCGATTGACGGTTGGGGCGGGATGTACTGGGAGGCTGGGAAGGGCAGGCCTGGATACCTCCCCAGCTCAGCAGAGGATGGGGTCTGCACATCGGCCGGGAGATCGGGATCGGACTACAGCAAGGCAAACAGCAAAGGGAACAAGGATCAGATGTGAGCTTCTGTGGTGATTCGAAAGCAAAACTACAGGGCCAAAATGGAATTTAACAATTTTCACTGACATTGAGGAAGAAGTTTACCGTAAGAATTTTCTAAATAATAGCTATGGGATGGCAGTGGCAGGGGGAGCTTGAATTAGGATGAAAGAAAAAAGTGAAAATAGTCAACAATCATTTGGCCAGCAAAACTCAACCAATTATCTGAAATGCAGTACCTGCAAGTATGTATTTTTATTAAATGCCTCTAGAAGCTAAAAAATGTCTCAGAGTCTTATATACTAAAATACCAAGTCAACTTTCCATAGATACCAAAAACTAAAGCAGTCTATTGACTATGGTAAGAAAAAGTCACCCTACACAACCCCAGAAGAGATCAAAGTCACCACCATATTGCACCTGTGTGTGTATAAACAACTTTGATACTTACTGTAACACCTGATTATAATGGTAAATAGAGAGTGTTTATTCAGAAACCACATGTCTTTCAAATGGAGCTACCTCTGAATAACATGAGTCACCCAGAAAGGTTTAAATTATATTCTATACCTACTGTCGAAGAGGTCGGGATACAAGTAACAATTAAGGTTTCTTAAAATCTTATTTCCTGATACTGCTTTATGAGCAAAATGCTGCCATAATATACACAAGAGACAAAAGAGGAAACGGATGTAAGAGGAGGCCCTCCTGGTGTCAGCAGCGCCGGAAGCACGTGATCACTGTTACTGCCAGTGACACCCTGAGGAGAAGGGGCTCTGCACGAGGGGCTGGTGATCTGGTGCCCTCCGTGAGGAAGGGTGGGCGCCTTGTATCTAGAATGCTTTGCTCGTCCAACTGGCCCAGTTTGGCTCAGCTGGTTGGACCACCCTACTCAAGGGGCTAAAGGAGACATTCCTGTCTGTATTGATGTTCGGATCAATGACTCTTTTACAAAGAAAAATCTCTGTTCCACAGACACATCCTTACTCTCAGACAACTGTCTAAAATGCTTCCTCATGGGGCGCCTGGGTGGCTCAGTCAGTTAAGCGTCTGCCTTCAGCTTGGGTCATGATCCCGGGGTCCTGGGACTGAGCCCCACACTGGGCTGCCTGCTCAGCGGGAAGCCTGCTTCTCCCTCTCCCTCTGTCCGCTGCTCCCCCTGCTTATGCTCTCTCTTTCTCTGTCAAATAAACAAAATCTTTAAAAAAAATAAAAAATAAAATAATACAATGCTTCCTCATGATTAGGTCCTGTCCAACAGATGATCATTATTATTCACGCCAGCGTCGAACACTGAAGGGCAGCAGCTGTTTAACCCCGAACAGACAGAAAACCACACTACGGCCTGGCATGCCGCACATGGCCCGCAGACCTGTTTCGCTTGGCCTGTGCGGTCTAAAAGAAATAAAGAGCCAATATTTCTCAAAACCTGAAAATTTTATACTAAAGCTCAGATTTCTGGATTCTCTCGGCAGACTCTGAAGCTGTGGCATCACCAGGCCCTGACTCCTCCACAGAAACCACGGCCCTTGAGCCGTGACCACCCTCCTGAGGTGGGGCCGGCGCCCTTCCCCTCCCAGCAGCGAGTGGGTGGCCTCGCTGCCACGGACAGGACATCCTGGTCCCGGAAGTCTGTTTCCTTAAAACTGGGCTATTGCAGGAAAGGTTCTACTAAGTGACATCTGTCACCTAGGGATTCTAAGTAAGGATTTGGAGCCCCAAAGGGCTCTTGGATCTGTGACAGAGCCCTGGAAGAACTCTGTATTCCTTTCCCTGTGAGGTGGATAAAATGTCTGCATGCAGGCCCTTCTCCCATTCTTGGGTTTTCCTGGGGAGTAGAGAGGGAAGACTGACGCCAGGAGTGTGTCACCAACCTAACAGTTCACAGTAGAGCAAAAGGAAAAGTGTCTCTGTAAACACATCCCCGTGGTAAGTGAAAGGGTCTCTCCAAAGACAGAAGCGATGTTCCTGGTGGTTCCAGTAGATGGCTAGGTAGCTGTTCTTCAAAAAACAAAAAAGAAAGCAAGAAAGCAACAACCGGCCCAAAATGGAGTCACTGCCCCCAGAGAGCAAAGCAAGACTTTACCGCACTTTCAGCCTCTCCCAGGAATGTGACCTTTAACCAGTCAATCTGGAAATTCCTGATCAGCACGAGTGAGGTCATCTGCAAAACAGACCCCCCTCCCCCCTTTCCCCAAAGAAAGGTGACCTTGCCTAAAACAATCCACTCTTTGTTAGAAAACTTCCTTTTCTGCCCTCTTCGGTCTATAAAAACTTTCCATGTCGTACCACCCCTCGGAGCTCCTTTCTACTTGCTGGGTGGGATGCTGCCTGATTCATGAACTCCTGAAGAAAGCCAATGAGATCTTTAAATTTACTCAGCTGAATTTTGTTTTAGAACACTGCATGGCAAGGAAGCGAGCGTGCGGCCACATAAAAAACTGCAGGCCCGAACTGAGATTCCAACGGTTTAACTTTTACAGCAAGAAATATATTGTGAAGCTGTGAAGGCGGGACTCATGAATCCTGCCAAGAAGGCAAAGAGCTACGGAGCCATGACATCATAGCTTCCGGTTCCTTCTACCTCTAACAGGCTCCCCGTTTGGCGGGCTCCACTACCAGCACCTTGCAGGCCAAGAAGAGGTCTTGTTCATTCTTCTATATCCCAACATCTGCACAGTGTTTCACAGATAGGTGGTACTGAATAATAAATGGGTAACAGTGGTCTATGAACATTAAGATTTATCCAGGATCCCCATTGGAATTTGAATTCCGCTCTCTTGAGTCTCAGTCTGATAGCTTCATTATTGGTCAATTTGTTTCCTTTGTGTAGATACGCATCCACCTATCATTCCTGAGAAATACATAGGAAGTTTTTTGTTTTTTGTTTTACCTTCAGTCATCAGAGAGGATGTATGATCAGATACCCTGGTTGGCCGAGGACAATCTCAACTTATGCCTGCTGTCCCAATATAATCATTAATAGAGCCTTCTATCACGCTCCCAGGTGTCAGGTTTGGATGATAAATTAGATCAGGGGTATACAAACTTTTTCTGAAAAGGGCCAAATGGCAAATATCGTAGGCTCTGAGTCATACAGTCGCTGTTGCTCTGTATTGGAAGTCTGCCACTCAGCGAGAACAGCCAGAGAGAACACGCAGATGAACGAGCATGACAGTGTTCCAATAAAACGTCACAGAAACTGGTAGCTAGCTGGATTTGGCCTGAGGGCCACAGTGTGCTGAGGCCTGAATTATAATGGTAACCCCTAGCTACCAAGAAATACAGGAATATTTCTTTCACCCTAGGAGAACAGAGCTCATAACGAGAAAATATTTTGAGGGTGAAGTGCAAAATTTAAGAAAAAACATGTATGTGTAGTAAAATCTTTAAGATGAAATACTACCTAAGAAAAAGTGAGTTCCACAAAAAAGGCATTATCTTTGAGAGCATGTGGTTTAGAATTTTTACAGAAAGTAAAAAGTCCATCTGAGAAAAATTTCATTTTAGGGAATCTCTGAAAAATGAAGCCGGCTGACTGAGGTGGTGCTCTCCAGGGAAGGGTTTATTTCCACCAGCTGAAGGAGGAACCTCTGCACTTGCTGCTAAGAAAAAAAAGCAAGAAGTGAAAAGATGATCCAGGCCCCCCCTGAAGGCGGCCTGATTTTGGATCACCGATGAAGACAAATGGAGAGATCAAGGGGAAGACACAAGACCCAATGGCATCAGATGACAGAACTCAGGGGTACTTAAAAAAAAAAAAAAAAAAAAGAGGGGACAGGATTGAAATAGCACTGGTGCAGATTTTCTTTGAGGGAATGAACCCTGGCTGGCTAGGGAAGTAAGGGGGTTGGGGAGAAGTAATGCCCCCTTCTTCTATTCATTGGTTTCACACATCAGGCCTGCAAGTCCCGGGGGAGACAAAAGCCAAAGCTTCAAGTGAACATCCTGGGGAGCCAAGGGGACAGTCCTCCCAGATGAAGCCAAACACCACAGACGCCCAGACAACCACCTGTCCAAAGCACAACAGCAGTACAAGAGCTCCATCTGCTGTAAGAACTGCCGGGACCGGCTCCCCTATCTTAGGAACTCACTCGCAGCCTTCCGAAACAGCCAGAGTCAGGAGCAAAGCAGCTGAGTCTATAGAAGCTTGCACCCCTCTGGGACTGCACCGATCCTCATAAGCAGGCGCGGCCAGTCTTTAGGACACTAGAAATACAGGAAGTTGCCAAGGAAAAGTCTGGTTCTTTCAGATGACCACGATTCAATGATATTTAGCCCCAATGTCAGTGTGGTGTTTGGCAGATTTGTGTGATCAGGTTTCACATCTTTCGGGGTTAGTTATTTGTGTAATTAGGAGACAATGGCTAAGGGCACACAAGCTCTATTCAAAGTGATCGTCACGTACATCACAAACCCCTTCTCCAAGGATGTGGGTTTGTTTGGTTTTTTTTCCTCTTGCTAATTTCTCTCTAAACAAGGATGCTTCTGTGTATCTCTGGGAGGAGGAAGGGGTCTTGTGCCACGAGCCAGGCCTGCCCCCGGCACAAGGCTATCGGTGTCCACTGTGTGTCTGGCACTGCTCGAGTCAGCCACATCCGGAGCTCCCTCTCCATCTGGGGTGCCTCGCACACCGGTGGGGAGGCGGGCCCTTTCTTCCCTACTCAGTGGGGTCTGTGCATGTGCCTTAAAGCCACCAATGTCTGCCTTGAGCACCTCAAGCAGTTTGGAGTGGGCCCCTTTCCATTTGAAAACAAAAATACCTAATTCTGTATTTTTTAATTTCCATTAAGCTTTTTCTTCCATTAAAATTATACACGTACACACACACACATAAAATACCTTCTTAGCACTCCAGGAACAGAAGGGAGAGACGAAACCCTAAATATCCCTCCTATTACCAAGAAACCCAAACAACTCTCGGACCAGGGGAAGACAAAAAAAAAAAAGAAAACAAACTTCTGTTTCCCAGTTAACCTCAAGGAGGACCCATCCCGAAGCATATGACAGCAAGGCTTGCACACAGAAAGGACCAACACAATTTCCAGGGGGCTCACTCAGCTGCCCGCTGGTCTCTGTGACTCATGTCTCCCCTCAAAGGAGCAGCCCACCGGCCCCCTGCCCCCACGCCTCACAGCCCAGCTGGCCCTGGAGTGTCAGTCATCTGGCAACATGACCGCACAGGGCCACGGCCGCCACTGTTCAGTCTCCTTCCCCTAAGAGCCACCCCACCCTGACCCCAGAAGCAAGAAGCAGCATTACGTACTGGGCAACCGATGTAGGCGGAGTTGTGGACACCGGGGGGCCTTTTGTAAGTGCCGTCGCTGTCTGTGGTGATGAGTCTGTCCTTCTCGGCATCTCCGGGGCAGCCATTGACCTGGTGTTTCCGACGTGGTTTGGGAGATCGCTTTATCCTGGAGCTTCCGGGGGGGGGGGGGGTAAGAGGTTATCTTGGTAGGAAATAAATCTTCCTGCCAGTAGCTTATCAACTAAACACTAAGTATTTTCTGAGCATCTGGGATGTGCTGGCCACTGCGGTAAACACCCCAAAGGATACAATGTGTAAGACACAGATTCTGCTATAAGAAAGCCACAGTCTACCTGAGCATATTTAAACGCATGGAACAGCAGAGAATCATGTAAGGTAATAAAATACCATGACTTTTTTTCAGACATTCAGAAAAGGGCAAGGTCAGTGTGGGCTACTGATACCGTGGCTGGCTATAGGGCCTGAACCGGGCCTTAAAAAGCAAGTACGATCTGCAGAGGAGGAGGGATGCGGGGACAGGGTGTGAGCCTGCATCCCTCCTCCTCTGCAAGGGGAAGCAGATGAATGTGGGTGGGGGCGGAATGAGGGGACCATCTAATGGGGAGACCCTGTCTACACCGCTGGACCGTGGAACGCAGCCAGAATGGAGAGGCAGGGCCCCGCCTGCTACCGAGCGCAGGTTCCACGTGGCAGGTAACCAACACCATTACAGGTGTTGAACAGGGCAAGACACAAATGAGGTCAGTGATCAGAGATGACGCATGCGCCTTAGGGACGGGGGTCTGGAAGACCAAGAGACCAAGACTCTGAGGGCAGCTGTGGGAAAAGAAATGGCCCTGCCACGCAGAGGAGGGGAAGGTACTGGGAGCGAGGGCGGGATGGGGGGAGACGGAGGAGGGAAACCGGGGGGGACCATCTGAGAAAGAAAGGGCGACTGCTATTTTCAACTAGCTGAATTCGAGGAGGCAGAGTACACCCAGGAATAAGGGGCAAGAGGAGGGGCAGGAGGGTGAATGAGAGCAGCCGGAGCGGGAGCAGAGCCGTGGGCGCCTCTGCAGGCAGACCTCGGGGAGCCCTGCTTGGGACGCGCACCTCTTCCTGGGCTCTATGAACACCGAGGGCACGCTGGCCGTGGGGTCCAGGATCTTGTCGATCTGCATCTGCGCCCTGCGGTACACACGGTGCCGCTCGCGCGTGTCGCCCGAGGACAGGTCGTCCACCACCGGAAACTCGTAGTGCCCGCGGCGCTTGGCGCGGAGCCGGATCTTGTTCCGATGGTGCTCGATCTCGGACTTGTGCCGCAGCGCCGTCTGGATCTGCACGGCCGAGGGAAGACAAGGGAGACATATGGAACGTTCCCGAAGGGGCCCCCATGTGGAGGGGAGACACATGGAACGTGCCCGAAGGGGCCCCCATGTGGAAAGGGCATCTTGGGAAGGCGTTCCTTTCCCCCAGACGGCCGTCCCAGGCTCCCGCGAGGCCCCAAAGGCGGCGACATGGACGGCCCAACACACACACGGGGCCAGAGAATCTGCCATCAGCCACAGGCTGGGTCCCGTAGCCCACGTATGCATCAAATACTACATTTTAAAAAGAGAGTAAAAGAAAAACAGAGATGTACACTATCAAGTTGTGGGGCCATAGGCCTGGTGAGCCTACTCCCTTCTTTCTTTCCGGCACTCGGAGAATCCACTTTAGGGTGCTTACACATGGTAAGCACAGAGGCACATGCAACTCGAGATGCGGGCGACGGTCTAGGTTAGGCCAGGGGCTGTGCAGGGCTGGGGCTCCCCAGCAATGGTGAGCCGAGGCAGTGCACACCATCCTAAACCCACAGTGCACATTCTTAGCAAAAGAAGGAAAGACCATTAAGAACTCTTGATAGGACTTCTGTGAGATGATCTACTTTAAGGATCACCTTTAAAGCGGGAGAGGGTTGCAACTGTACCAACTTCCTACTACTTCACCCTGGCAGAACTCACAACAGTAGCAGGTGTTTCTTAGAGGCAGGAAATGGACAGACATGGAGCTGCCTTATGTGCAATCCTAAATGGCCTTTGGGCCACTCATTGTCTAGCCCAGGTCAAATCTCTCAAGGTCAAGTTAACAGTGACTTGGCCTGGCCTTCTAGTTCCCAAAATCTCAGGGGAGAAGTGGATCTAACTCACTCTTCCAGGATTCACTGGAGTCGGATTTTACTAGGTATTAGTAGATCCTTGGGGCCAGAGTGGATCTATCAGGGATCACAAAGTCTACAGTGGTCATAAGATCACCCCAGGTTCAAAGGTTCATTAGGAAAACTCATAGGGGGGCGCCTGGGTGGCTCAGTCGTTAAGCGTCTGCCTTCGGCTCAGGTCATGATCCCAGGGTCCTGGAATCGAGTCCCACATCGGGCTCCCTGCTCGGCAGGAAACCTGCTTCTCGCTCTCCCACTCCCCCTGCTTGTGTTCCTGCTCTCGCTGTCTCTCTCTCTCTGTCAAATAAATAAATAAAATCTTTAAAAAAAAAAAAAAAAGGAAAACTCATAGGACTCAGCAGTTAGTCCCATTTATTATAGCAAAAGGATGCAAATCAAAATAAGCAAAGAGAAATGGCATGTGGGTGAAGTCCGGAGGAACCAAGAGCAAGCTTCTAGGAGGCCTTCCCCAGGGGAGCCACACACAACAATGTTGCTTCCTTCCTCCAGCAATGAGTTGTGATGACACATGTGAAATGTCCACCAAGGAAGCCCATTGGAGATGCAATGCCCAGGATTCGTCCTGGGGGCTGGTCCAACAGGCTCCCTCTGTGTAGCATGTGCCAAAATTCCAGAGTCCCAGAAGGAAAAGAGATGTTCAGATAAGTCATACTGTTTGCATAAACAATCTGGGCACAGTGAGCCACTCTGTTCTGGGAATAGTGGGAATGTTTCTGAAACGTAAGTTCCCAAACATCAGCCAAGGGCCATAGGAGGACTTTTGAAGGATAGGAGGCTCGGGTTTGCTATGTTAAATCTCTGCATGTCTGCCATACGCCTAACAGTGTCCTTGAACGGCACTGGATCTAAACAAAAACTCAGCTGCGGCACAAGTCCGAGTAAAATACTTGTCAGCAGCTCCTACCTTTAGCAATTTCCACCCGTTTTTAAGCAGTGACCAAATCAGAATGTGAATTTTTTTTTTTTTAAATAAATGGACTTTTTAAAAAAGAGCAAATACCTCCTTGTTAATTTTGTTGGTTTCTGCCACCCGGTCGGCCAGTACGGGGTGCTGAACCGGAGGGGCCGGGATGGGCTGCATGGCGATCAGCTGTATCTTACTGGGAACCCGCCTGCTGGCCTCCGAGGACCGGGACAGCCTGTCCACATGCTCAAAGATGGAGGCCGACGAGTGCTGCTCGTTCCCCGAACTGGGCGGCGGTGGCCCTGGAGCAGAAGGAGAAGCAAAAGCATAAATAAATAAAGCCATCCTGAAGAAACAGCAAATAATCAATCGTCATGCTACTTGGTGCCAAAACTTGCCCTGTTTTGTCTAAAGGCGTTTCAAAGTCTTCAGGAGGGGAAGGGAAAGTGCAAGTGCTGCGCAGAGTCACTAAGTGGCTTGCAGAACTTTTAAGGAAACACTGACAGCAGCTCTGAACTTCCACTCTCATTTGGAGAGATATAAACATAGTCACTGAGGCAGTTATACTGGGGAAAAGACAGAAGATGAGGGGAGTGTGGACATGCAGACACTGAACGTGTCTGGCCTTTCAGTTCTGATGCACGAGGAAAACCAAGGTGAAGAGCCTCGAGGAGAAAAAGCTGCCGTCTGCGGGGCATTCATTCCAACTTTAAAAAAAGAAGAGTAGTACCCTTAAAAATGGCCGTGGGGAGGGGACTGGGTGGCTCAGCTGGTTAAGCATTTGCCTTAGGCTCAGGTCATGGTCTCAGGTCCTGGGGTTGAGCCCCATGTTGGGCTCCTGCTCTCTCGCTCCCTCTCAAATAAATAAATAAAATCTTTTTAAAAAAATGGTCAAGAGGGGAAACTGTATGGCATGTATATTTTACTACCTGGAACATGTTAGAAAAGTAATCAGAACTTCGAAAAAGAAAACAGAGATTGGATCTTGGTATAACGGGTGATTTTCTCCAATTTCTTGCATTTTCTCTAGTGAGGATGTTCCTTAACGAGTATGACTTTTACAGTAGAAATAATCCCAATAAACTTTACTTTCATAAAGGCAAAGAGCGAGAGATGCAGAAGGGCTAAAGAGATGGAAAGAGCTCAATAGAGCTACTGGGAAGCACTCCCTCTGATAAGCCACAGCCGCTCTCTGAACCCTCCCGACGCTGTTTTTTTTGTTTTTTTTTACTTTAAAGATTTTTTTTATTTATTGGAGAGAGCGAGAGAGACAGAGAGAGCACAAGCAGGGGGGAGTGGGAGAGAGAGAAGCAGACTCTCCGCTGAGCAGGGAGCCTGATGCAGGGCTCGATCCCAGAACCCTGGGATCATGACCTGAGCCGAAGGCAGATGCTTAACAGAGCACCCTGGACACTGCTTTAAAATAAATGGCCAAGAGGCCACAAGAAGGAGTGAGAGCATGTGGAATCTGTTTTCAAACAAAAGCCTGAGGTTGATTCAAGCGCAAGTGAAAAATATAGAGGTTTCTCCTTGATGTAAAACAAGATAGAGGGGCGCCTCGGTGGCTCAGTAGGTTAAGCGTCTGCCTTCTGCTCAGGTCACAATCCTGGGGTCCTGGGATCGAGCCCCACATCAGGCTCCCTGCTCAGCCGGGAGGCTGCTTCTTCCTCTCCTCCCAGCTAGCGCTCTCTCTCTCTATCTCTGTCTCTCTCTCTCAAATAAATAAATAAAATCTTTAAAAAAATAAAATAAAACAGGATAGAATGGGCAAAACAGTAAAAAATAGTAACAGCTATTTTACATAAGGAATGTATGCACGTCAGTGGTATGGAAGTCTTTGTACTTCCTCTCAATGTGAATTATATTCATTCGTTACCCCACACGATTAGAAATGATTTATGGAACTGTGAATGAATGACGACTCCCTTAGCGAGAAGGCATAGTTGTCTCGATTCAGGCTAATCTGGGGCTTTCTTTCCCTACCCTGGGCCCGGAGGGAGCCTATTTGTGCAACATGAGCACAGCCGGGCACCACCATTCATCTGGGGGCAGCTACTCAAATTACAGGCTCGATGCCTAAAAGGAGGTAATTAGCTTCTCCGGATAGGCTAGCCTGGCTAACCCAAACTTACAATGTAGCAGCAAATGTCACAAAGGGGTAAGCTACTGATACTTAAAGGTGAGAGCGCTTTCCTCCAGGAAGGTGAAAAGACCAGGACACACAGGTGACAAAGGAAGAATGCAACCCCCGCTCCCCCGCAGTGCTATCTGCCTGCCTGGGTACCTGGGAGCTGCAGGCCTGTGACTGGCTCCTGTCTGTGCCCCTTCCAGCCCCCAGCCATGGTCATGGCTCGTCACTCTATAATTCACCACTGCAACCAGAGACGCACGAGAAGCCCAGAAAATCCTCGAGCTTCCAAACTGCTCGGAACCCAGCCTTTCTAATATATACATATATATATTAAGTATATATATATTTATTAAAAAATATATATTTTATAACTGGGTTATTTTTATTGTTTGCTATGTACTGCATAATTTATTTTTTTTAAAAAACAACCTGGACAACAATAACCAATGGAAAGTACAACTCAATACATAGAGATTAATCTGTGTAAATCTGCCTTAAGGTAAGTTAGAGACTTTGGATTAAAACCCATTTCTATTCAAATATTACAACACCAAAAAAAAATTGTAATTATAGAAATTACAGTATGGGATAACTTCGACAAAGCAGAATGACAGAGGGAAGGGCAATGCTCACTGTTAAAATGCTGAAGCAATGGAACACTTCTCAAGAAATACAAACTTCATTATCTATAGGTGAATACAGTCAAAGTGCATCATCCGTAAGGCCCATGGCCCCCATTAATATCCTGTGAGGCAGGGATTCCATTTCTCTCTCCCTCTTCATCCTGTTCCAGCGCCTCCCCCACCACAGGCCCTGAGCACCCATTTGCTGAATGCAGGACTAAACGACCAGTCACCTCAGCTAAGTTCATAAAATGTTACCTCAAAGAGGCCTCTGGGGATCTGCTGCAATACAAAGAATTCTAACTTATGACCTCAAATCATTTCATAAACAAGCACTCCACAATCATCTGAAAAACCCTGATGTGACAGGTAGTCAACACAGGTGCCCTGCAATCTCTCTAAAACTATTAATTTGCTTTGCCAACTTTTTTTTAAGATATATTTATTTGAGGGCACCTGGGTGGCTCAGTTGGTTAAGCGACTGCTTTCGGCTCAGGTCATGATCCTGGAGTCCCGGGATCGAGTCCCGCATCGGGCTCCCTGCTCGGCAGGGAGCCTGCTTCTCCCTCTGACCTTCCCCCCTCTCATGTGCTCTCTGTCTCTCTCATTCTCTCTGTCTCAGATATATAAATAAAATCTTAAAAAAAAAAAAAAAGATATATTTATTTGAGAGAGAGAGTGCGTGAGCAAGCAGGCGGAGGGGCAGAGGGAGAGAATACTCAGGCAGACTCCCCACTGAGCACGGAGCCCGAGATAGGGCTTGATCCCAGGACCCTGAGATCACGACCTGAGCCAAAGCCAAGAGTCGGACGCTCAGCGGACTGAGCCACCCAGGCGCCCCTTCTTGCAAACTCTTTAGCACATGCCAAGGTAGATGTCAGCTTAGTTCCAACTAAGAATTCCATTCTAGAATTCGGAATTTGTGGAATTCCCCTTAATGAAGTTCCAACTCCTTAAAAATCACACCCGTGCACACCGTGTTTCGCAGTCCTTACCTATTGGGGGATTCCTGATGACAGAAGGAAGGGGGACGCGACATTATGCAAGGACACCAGAGTGGTGGCACAGTAACTGTCTGAAGGCCTCTGCCTTCACCCGAGGAAGGTACGTCACCTCCCTATCTCATCTCGCTCTTGACAGCTCTGCTAAAGGGAACCCGTGGTCATGACGTGACTTATTCTAAAACCGTGATAACCGTGATAACTGTGAACACAGTGACATCTGAGTCAATAACCTCATAAGGGTCCATCCATGGGCGGTCATATATGCATTATGGTCTAGCTGCCTTCCAAAAACAGTCAGCTGGGAAGGGAATAAAGCACAACCTCTAACAGACCAAAACCAAAACAACGCTCTTTTCTCAGCTATATTGCCATGTGGGTCCTGGAAATGTCAGATGACTTGTGACATCCATCGAAAGCCTCGCCAAGGAGTCAGAGGGGACCCGGCGGCCATGCCACCTGCTGTGGTAAGAGGCAACACTGGGCCCAGGGCAACACGGAGGAGGGGTTAGAAACTCACAATCTTTTCTATACGGTATTTAATTAAGTTCTATGCAAGCAATAAAATGCCTTCATGGAAGCTTTACAGAAATAAATAAAATCTTCCAAGTGGGTTGATATTTACAGTGAGAAAATCATCTTTCTAAAACATGAAAATAATGTGCAGACTGTGGTGTCTCTCCAAATCATAATAGCAACAACTATGCTTCTAGAACTCACAAGAACATCTAACACACTTGCCTCCTTCCACAGGCAACTCAGTCCCACACCTCACATGCTCACTACCTGGATTTTGAATATACGATGATGGTGACTTTTGATTTTCGTTAGCCATGCAGAATATACTAAAACTGTCAGGAGTTAAATGTGGGAACTAAAAGCGAGATTTTCTCAGATAAGCAATTAACAGAAATGGAGAAACCCCAGAACCGACTGTTTGTTTGTTTTTTCCCCCCTCATATATTTCCTTCCTGGAATCAAAATTAGATTTTAGTCCTGTCTATCTGAAACAGAGCACCTGTTACCATGGTGCTAAATAACTTCTAAGATTCTGTGAAACTGGATCCAAAGAAAAAACTCTTCCCTTATTCTAAGGGGGTTTTCTTTAACATCAAAAAGGAACTGGAAGGAATTTCAGAAATGAGCTAGTTTAGTCCCACAGAAGCCCCAAAGGCTGAGGGACTCGCAAGATCACACGCATGACAGTGACAGATCAGGCCCTCTGGCTTCTAGCTAGAATCTGTTCATTTATAGGATACGATTCACTCTGTACTGCATTTCAAACAAAGAAATGTGTGATGACAAATGTTTAAGTATAAAAATTACTATTAAAAATAATATCCTGAGCATCCCACTTTTCTTTGCACTACTGAAACAGTCCTGAGATATAAATAAAACTCCAGCAAATACAAGAGCTGTACTCGCACATTTATTTACGGAATCTGTTAAACTAAAACCAAACTACCTTGCCATCACACCAAAAAATGCCCCTAAGTCTAGTTAGACCTGTGGGCTTAGTTTGATCACAGAGCATGAGCTCCACAGTAAAGTCCTTTGAGATGGACAGGAAGTTCATTTCAGACCTGGCCTAAAAAGCCACAGACTACAGATATAAATATGCTACACCATTTCGGTCTCACTGAACTACCTGCGGGAAGAAGGATCTAAGAACAGGACCAAATAGAATGCATTTGGACCCATGATAAATAAATAACTTCCTGGCAGTGACAGCTGAGAAAAATCCAGAATTGGATCCTAAGAAGGTCACTAAATTCTGGAGGTAGTTTTTGAGACTCTGGTTTTAGTTTGGGTCCTCCTGTTCTTCGGAGAGGAAAACCATTAGGACTCTAAACTAGAATGGAACATGGCTATTAACCTCAAAACATACTTGAGTGAACCCCTAACCTCCAGCACGGTCTCCCGCCTCAACGAAGACACTAGAACGACATGAGACAGTGACAGTCGATGCTGAGAAATTCACCATACGGATGATGAGTATTCCACAGCAGATTTTTTTTTTTTTTAGGGTCTAGCATTTGAAGTAGCATAAAACCTTATCCTATTGGAATCTCATCATTACTATGTTGAATGTGGAGAATGAGAAGAGTCACAGACCGCTCTGTGGGCCTCTGTGGGACTGGCCATCGTTCACTGGTCCCGGCGTCTTGTCTCCCACGTCCCTCTCACTGGACTCCTCACTTACGGTAGAGTCAGCATCCGAGGGAGAAACTCTGCAGTCACAGAACAAATGCAAGCATTAGGAAAAAGAAAGAAAGGGCCTGC